ATGGAATATCTATTAAATGAGCAGAAAGGACACAGAAACCAAAAACAAATGGTGGGGAGGTCTCCAGCAAAGCCAAGGCGGTGTTCTGAGAATGGGGAGAGCTGAGTGATCTCCACAACAGGGACACGCCTGAAGGAGGCAGTGGATGGCAGAGCCAGGACTTGCAGCTGTGGGGCCACTGTTGAAGCCGAGTCATCCAGATCCCTGTGTGACACTAGGTTCTCCTGGCTGAGGCCTGGACCCTTGAGAACCCAGAGAGCCTCTTCCTTCTTGGTGCCCAAGTCTGTCACCCTCATGAGCATCATTGGGGAAAGCAGAAGGTAAAGGAAGAGAGAAAAAAAAAAGAGAGAGAGGGAGGAGCTGCCGAGGAAGGCAGGCACTTAGGAGAAAGAGCAAAAAGGAATGTGTTCCTTGCCCCTTCGAGGTTGGGAGTCTTTCCCAGGACCTGCTGTGGCATGTGAATGGGTGTGAGATTTTACAGTGAGCTTTTTTTTAGGCTAAAACTTTTTATTCATAAAAGATGGGCATCAAATGCCTTCAAAGTAGTCTCATATGCTTTATAACATTGTAAATGCCTCAGAAAAAATCAAGGACACCAGTAGGCATTTATAGATTAAACTATAGTACCCCCAAAGACAGTGGGATGAGAATGAAGGGGAACTATGAGGAGGTGCTACAATGAGCTTTTTGATACAAGACTGCTTTCTTGCATCTGGTTCATTACCTGATCTCAGCTCAGGACAGGATTATCTGGTCACCGGAGTCTCCAAAGGTCATTTCCCTAGCAGCCTGACCTTGTTCACAATTTGGAGTTACTCTCGGGCATCCCAGAAAGAGCAGAAAGCTTTAGAGACTAGAAACATAAATCCTAACCTTCTTTCTAGTTCACCAGCTGACGGGGGCAGCTATTGGGGTTCCATGGGTGCCTCGAAGAGGTTTTATGGTCTTGTGTCCTAGAACAAGGAACTGAGCAGAGACCTGTGGATAGAAGCAGAAATGGGAACTTATAAAGAAAACATACATTTCCAGAGGAGGAAGGGGTCAGAGCAAAAAGCAACACCCTGCTGCACAAATGGAAGGGTTTTTTTTTTTTTTTTTTATCACATGCCCAAGCTCTATGGCTTGTTTGCATAACTGGGCTTTTGTCTGCTTGTTCTAACTGTGGCATCTTGTAACTCATTCCTCATTAGCATTTTAAATCTCCACCCAGGTCCATTCTGTGGAGCTCCTATGCTCCTGCTCCAGTGGCTCCAGCCAAGTCTAGTTGCCATTAGCTGGAGATTTTGGGCCTTCCTCTTTGTGCTCCGTTTAAGGCATTTCTTATGGGCTAGTGTTAAGTTGGGAGCATTGCCCCAGTCCCTGGCATCCATCCCAGCACCCCCTTGGCCTGGGACTTGCGTTGGTCTGGACTCCAAATCCCAGCATCCAGGTCCTGACCCCTCCCTCGGGGTCAGGACCACTCCCACAGGGTATTTAAGTGGGCACACAGAGAAGGAACATGTGGTCCTGGGTTTTACATGTGCTCCCCGGTTTTCTGTCTCCCGAGAGTGCTGCATTTAGTAAAACATGGGCATTTTAATTTGGTTTAATTTGTTTTGATTGGATTTTTGCGATTTTTTTCCCTAACAGCTGGTTTTGCAGTCTTTGTGTGTAAGGCTTTCTGGACTTCACTCTCTGTCCCAAGTGAGAAGAAAAAGATCTGTGGGCTAGTCACTTAATTTATAGATTCGTTAACTCTTTATGTGTGTAATTATCACCCAGTGAGAGCTGAATTTGAGATCATTACGGGGCATTTGAAAGGCGAACAGATATTCATTGAAGTGGCGTGACTGTAGGCTTTTGGTTGGGAACTTATCCCTTTGACCAAGGCTGGTGACAGGGACAGACTGATAAGAAGGCAACTCTTTCAGTGCAAATATTTGGAAAACAAAACAAAAGCAAAGAGAGACCTGCATACTGAAGAAAGATAAAGCATTCAGGTCATCCTACAACACTCTGTTTTGAGTCAGAAGACATTAGAAATTTATGTAAAAACACATATGTTAGCATCTTGGTTACATTATCCAAAACATACTTTTGCGAATTAAGTTCCTTTCCCCTTTACAGTGTCCTCCATTAATTAATTCTGAAGTTCAGATGACACGAAAGGCAATCCTACAGAGAGGCATGGCTTGAGATAGCCCAGCAGCCCAAGGGAGCCTCTGTACTATTATCCAGCTTGAATGCTGGTATCTGCGTATTCCTGATAATTCTGTTAATGTTTATCTGCTTTCCAGGATCTGTGACAGACAGCACCGTGCTACTGGTGGGCGGCTCTGACGGTGAGCTGTGCTGTCCTGGTGGAAAGGGGTCTCTCATGATCGCAAAACTCGTCCTGTTCATCTTTGGGCCGTGTGGACTGAACTGCTGCTTTAACTTTGTCTCCTCATAGACGCACTCAGTCCACACTCAGAGGGACTGTGGCCTTCTGGCTCCATCTCTGTGGTCTCCATTAGTCACCCTCTAATTCCTGAACATCTATAAGAAATCCTGAGTTCGGTTCCCGGCAGCCACATGGTGGCTCACAACCATCTGTAATGGGGTCTGGTGCCCTCTTCTGGCCTGCAGACATACACACAGACAGAATGTTGTATACATAATAAATAAATAAATATTTAAAAAAAAAAAAAAAAAAAACAAAAAAAAAAAAAAGAAATCCTTCAGCCAGTAAAGGGAACCACAGGAACCATTCTGCATCCCCAGATTCCTCAAATGTATTGTTTCCCCTATCACCTACCCAGGAGTTCAAGATTCCTGCCTGCCCCCCTTTATCTGACAGTTCTACAAATAAAGCCATAGAAGCACTTTGGGGGCCTTTTAGATAGACCCACTAAAGGGCTATGCCAATACTCTCGCCCAACAACACCCCCCTGACTTGTAGAAATAGCATTGATTTTCACCCCAATTTCCTAGTAGCGGTTAGGGTTGTGTCTTCTCTGAGTGGGAGGAATGAAATGTTGAGAACAGGAGATCACCAGCAATTGGCCAGGCAGATTTAGGGTAAAGGCATTCCCGAAGAGTGGACAGTTTTCTCTCTTGGCTAAAACTCAAAAATGTTCTCATTCTAGTCCTTGAAAGGGGCCAGATATGTTTCAGCCAAAATGTCTCTGGTTCTGCCATGGCCAGAGGCCGGGGTTTCAGAAAGGGGTTGTCTGTTTGTCCCATATCTCTCCCCGACCCCCAAGGAAGCACCGTTTCCTGGAAACTGTACTGAGGCTGAAATGGGGACGCCTGGGCACCTTGAATCAGCTTCTCTCCCCCTCTTCCATCTTTCATTCAGAAAAGCTTTACTAACTTAAAGGCAGTGGCCCTCATTAGCACCCCACTCCCGGGATCCCTCCTGTGGGTACGGGTTCCATTTTCTTCTTTCTCTTTAGCTTTCTGCAATAAAAATAGTCTCTCTCTCTCTCTCTCTCTCTCTCTCTCTCTCTCTCTCTCTCTCAAACTTACCTTCTGTGGTCCATGAGTTTCATTCTTTGAATTCAAGAGACAAGAATCTAAAAGCTGCTAGTTTGGAGAGGCCTGAGTTTCCAGAGCCTTAGGCCCCCAAACAAAGCACAGGAACTGAGAAAGGCTCCCTTGCTCTCATACACACCCCGACATTCTCAGGTGTATCTCCCAGATCTGAATCTTAAAATACTTGAGAAGTTGAGCTCCACCCAACAGAAGCTTCTAAGGAGTGGCAGCCCAAGTCAGTAAGGGCACACTATTCTCACCGACTTCTTCGCTAACTGCCTGCTCATTGGTTCGCCCACCCCCCCAACGTGTCCCCAAATTTTAGTCTCTTCAGATATTTTTCTTTCCTCACTCACCTGTCTCGTTTGTTAATGTTTTGCACCTCTAACCAACTGAGTCTTATAAACAACTAAACGTTCTCTTTGTAAAACCACTCACCATCTTCGAGTCAGTCTTTGAGAGCGTCTATCTGGATGATCTGAGAGGTATTGCCAAGGGGTTAGTATGATAGATGCTGACTGGAATGAGTCGGTATTGCTGTAACATTTCCAATCAAGGTATTTTTAAAACACCTCAATTTCCCTTTACGATGAACGTAATTTTACTATAACATAATCACAGTTAATCATTTCAGTGCGAAGACTCCTAGATTTATTTGTTTGTTTACTTCTTTACACCAAAAAGACACAATAGGCGTGTGCATTTGTGAACTAGCTTAGGGTTGTGGTTCATTTTAAAACGTAGTAATATATTTCATCATTTGAAAAAATTGTCCCATGTACCATGATTTAAGGGAAAAACATTATCCCATTAGTAACAACAACTGGACATCTTGGCTGTTTCTAATTTTAAGTGATACAGTCTGTTTATGTAACTGTCCGAAGAAAGAGGCCCATAAGACCATCTTGTCTAGCTGCTTATCTCTCTAGTCTCACCCAGAGCAATTCCGCTTGTTCTCGGCATGCTGCAGTAAGTTTGAACATGCCGTCTCCTGTCTCTCAACATTTGCATGGGTACTTCCACTTCGAGAGAACGCTCTGAATTCTTGTTCACTGCCAGACCAGTTTCTACTCTGCTGAGACCTCATGGAGACTTTAGACTAGGTCATGGTGTGATGGCATGTTCCACGAGCATCTTGACATCCCCAGCCCGTTGTGACTGCGCCCTCTCACGTTTGTCCTACATGTTGACATTTACAGAGTGTCATTTGTTTTATGTTTTGACAACCTGATGATATGAGAAATCTTCTCGCTACTTTATTTAGTATTCCCCGTTCTCTTCCACAACAATTGTTTTTGTGTATGTGTTTGAGCACTCAGTATGTGTGCGCGTGCTCCTGCCACAGCATGTGGAGGAAGGGCCAACTTGGTCCACTGAGATTCTTTTCCCATCTTTCCATGGGTCCCAGAGACAGAACTCATGTTGCTAGACTTTCCCAGCAATCACCTTTACCCACTAAGTCATCTCACTAGACCATTATTTAGTAATTTTTATTTGGCAAGATACTTGTTTCTGGCAAGTTAATTTTCTACTGGAATATTTATCATATATTTATTAATTTATAAACATTCTTTACATATTAAGGCATTCATCTATTACCATTTTTATAGAATACATAATATCTTCCATACATATTTGTTTTACATCACCAACATTTTCCCCATTATTATTCAATCAGATTTGTCACCAGCTTTTAAAAAATTGATTAGAAAAATCTAAGCCCAGAAACAAAATTAGGAACACATTTAGATGCCTCTTTTGAAAGATCATTTTAGTACTTTTAAGACTAATTTTTAAAATTTAGAAACAAAGAAAAAATGCAATTTAAACAGTGTTTTGAAAACTTAAGAATGCAGTAGCATGCATAATTCCCTTTCTCTACGAAGTGGTGGATTCCAGTTAAAAACTAGCAGGATCAGAACAGAGTGAAGGAGAATATGAAAGAATTTTCCTCATGTTTCAAAACCCAAAGGTAAGAGTATAAAGCATGAGGGAAAAGTCAAGAATAAGAAGAGCTAAGCCTCATTCCCTCTCCTCTGTCTCTCAGCTTTAAATGAGAAGACTACATTAAAGTTGTGGATGAGAAAATGCTTGGTGGAATTAGGAGGTAGGGTGCTAGGGATGTGACCAAGCTTCTCTGGGAAGATCCTCTACCTTCTCCTTGGGTTCTAAGTTGTAAAATTTTTCCAAATATGCAACTAGGAGCCATGCCTCACTACTTCATGAGTAAGAGCAATGGTTGGCATAAATCCTGAAGGACAGAAAATGGCTCGCTGCATCTGAGGGGGCCTTTCATTGATGACTTCACCACAGCATGTTGGGAAAGCAAAGGATCATTATGTCAGCTCAAGAATGGTGTGGAAGACGCAGGGAGATCTACACAGATGAAAGCATCTGGAACATGTGAACACAGAGACAGCTTTCATGAACTTATGGCAGTGATCAGATGGGTTGTGGACATAATCAATACTATCACGAATCAAATGCAATCACTTCTCTTTTTAAGGTCACAGTGTGAGCTGCACACCAGTTTTTCCAACTTATTTTATTATCAGTATGGCAAAGAGGCCCTCATTTCACGATATACAGCTACACTGTCTTCCTGCCACTGATGCACCGTCTCTTCCGGCAGCTCGGGGATAATCAGAGTTGAAACAGGAAAGGAAGGAAAGCCATTCGGGATGCTCTTGCACTTTCAACATTGAGATCTCAGAAAAGTAGAACACAGCGGATGCTGAAACATAAAAAAAAAAATTGTGATCACGATAAGCTGGGAAGCACTAACTATGACACAGTCATTTCTTCTTTGCTCTAATTCACCTAAATAACAATCAGCATCTGAATGGGGTCTGGATTGGAATCCAGTGTCATACAGAAAGGAAAGGCATCCTCTTCACACGTAGTTCCCTATGACTACACAACCATAAAAGATCCCAGGACCTCAGGGACAGCTTTTTAGCAATATCCTGCTGCTGTAGCATCTTGACTAACATCTGAACCAGAAAGAAAAAGGTGACTTTCTCTGGTTCCTCTCCTCTTGCAGTAAGTCCACTGCCTGCTAGACGCCTTCCCCCACATACAATCATCATTTAAAACTGTCAGATGCGCTTCCCTGGAGCTTTGTTCTTGACTTAAATGGGTTGACATACACAGTGAAATTTTACCAGAAAGAAGAGGGCAAAAATGTGAAGGTTTTCAGATAAAAATTATTTAGCAAACGAAGTGTGGGCGCAGAGTCGGGGAAAGAATACAGACTGGAGACTCGCTTCAAAGTGAACCGAGAAAAGCACATTCGTAGATGTTTCTTTGCTGTTTGTTTCAAGCCCTACACTGAATCTCCAACCCTTGTAGCAGTTCTGGAAGACAACTGCAGGACAGCTGTCTCCAAATTCAAGCATTTGCTCCAGGAGGGAGAAAGACAGGAGGTAAACAAACTTCCCAGTCTGGGAAAGCAGAAGCTTGCAAGATTTGTAGTCACCCCCCCCCCCTCCAGGGCCATGGACATGGTAAGCCACTCAAGAGGAGATTCTAAAAAGTCCAGCTGTGGAGAGGTCCCTGGCATCTGTTGAGCTGCTTGTCTGTAAGTCGTGCAGAGAGCTCCAAGGGCACAGCCTTCGTGAATCATCACCCATGCTGGGGGGTGGGGGGAGCTTTTCTGTGAAGCAGTTTCCTTAGAGTCATCTCTGTTCCTGTGAATACCCCTTCACACCTGCTAGTAACCCCAATAAGAACTCAGTGGCTAACCGAGTTGGACTCTGGTGTAATCGTTACTTTGGCCTATTGTGGGTTCCCTTTCTGGGGTGAGTAGGTCGAGAGGAGCAAGCTGATGCCATAAAAGGCTGCTTTGGCCTTCTCTCAGAGATCAGGCCTCAGTTTCAGTTTCCTACAACTGAGCAAGCAGCTTCTGGGGAAGAGCCACCAAGGACAATCTCCAACACCTGACAGCAAGGACAAGGAGGCCTCGTACAAGCAGTACCAGGATTGAGCCAGCCCCCACAGTCAGTACACGCTAGGCCAGCCAGCTTCCACAGCTGCTCAAGGACAAAGCCAGGAACTTGTCCAGGCTTGCCCCAAAAGGGAAAACTGTAGCCCTGCCCAGCCCTGGCCAATTAGAATGCACTAATATGATTGCCACTTACCTGAGCCAATCACTTTCAAAATGACCTGCCTTAGGACCGCCCCTTGGCTGTGCTTAAAAGGAGCCCACTTGGCCTTCTTGGGAGGGGGGTTGGGGGGGAGGAGTCTTTGTCATCTTGCCTTTGTGTGGGATGGTAGGCCCCAGCATGCTAGAATAATAAACGCTCTTGCTGATTTGCATACATGGATGGTGGTCTTCCTTGGGACTTCTCCAGGACATAGGTGCATAGGTGTGTGTGTGTGTGTGTGTGTGTGTGTGTGTGTGTGTGTGTTTGTGTGTGTTTGATAGAAGTCCCCAGGAAATTGATCACACACAGCAACAGTCCTCCACCAACTCCCGAGCATTTCAAGAACATGTGAACAAATCAGTGCTTGCGGAGTAAATGGTGCATTCTTAAAGCCTTGCTAACACGTGGGTTCCATTATTCAGAAAAGATGTACGAGGTGTTGGCATTCAAGCATTTACACAGGCCTGCCCTTGGGAGCCTAGCAGACAAGTCAACAGCAGCAGCCAAGATGTGACCCCGTGACCGCCGCTGCAGCCAGCGAGTAGAGCAGGCTCCCTATGTGCAAGTGAAAAACCCCCGTCCAGCTTGCTAAGCAGCTTAGCACCAGATGAAAGACCCCCCCCCCCCCCCCCCCCCCCCCCCCCCCCGCCCAGCTTGTTAAACGACTTAGCACCGGTAATGCCATTTTACAAGGCTTGTACTGAATATTCAGGGTTTGAACAAAGGGCAGTTTAGAAGCTGCCAAAACGAGATAGAGACACCTGTGGCTGGGCCGGGGGAGGAAGGAGGAATACCGAAAATGTGGCTGGGTGTCGTCTGCCCCAGGCAGGGAGAAGACACTCCGTCTGCCCTAGATAAGAGCCAAGGCAGCCCATATCTGAATTCTCGGGGACTAGGGACTTTGTCCCGACCTGAACTCGGCCACATTCAAACTAACCAATAAAAACCCTGTAACTATGCTTCTCGCTTCTGTACCACACTTTTTGCTCCCCAAAACATATATAAACCCATTACCCCGACCTGGAGGCGCACAAGTCCTCCGAGAGACTTTGTCGCCCCAGGTACCTGTGTATCTGAATAAACCTCTTGCTGTTTGCATCCGTACAAGTGGTCTCGCTGTTCCTTGGGAAGGGTCTCCCCAGAGGAAAGACACTCTTGGAGGGTCTTTCACAAGTACTCACTAGATCCCCTTAGAAAAAGCAAGCCCTTCTCAACCCTCTCTTTCTTCCTTCCACCTCGGCACCCCACCCTCCAATAGACTTCCCACGTGAGCTCTGTTGTGTGGTGTGGCTTTGTGGTACCCTTTGGCTCCAATCCGCCAAGGTTACCTTCCACCGTTAAACTATTACACAAGGATTTTTGCCCTTGGCAGGGGTCTAAACACTTGGCAGGGGTCTTGAACTTCTTGCAAGGTTGCTGACTCCAGAAATTCATCTCAATTGTTTTAGAAATTTTTGCTAACCAGACAAATAAACACTATTGCCCAATGTGAATTTGTGTTGTGCTGAATTCTTCACTATCTTTCTCAAATGGATGGAGTAGACTTTCCCCAAAGAGAGGCAGCAGGTAAAGCTTTTCCTCTGTTGATGACATCAGGAAATAGGGAGATGTGTATAAAAGATACCAAAGGTCCAAGGAGCCCTCCCTGCGCCTTTAACAAAACCACTTAGAAACACCCAAGTCATCATTTCCTCTGTGAATTATCAGAATATAGGAGAGCATCAAGCAAAAACTCACGTTTTTCCTTTATAATACAGTTTCATGGCTTTGTGGAGTTCGTCAAAAGGCAGCTGATGAGTCACTAGTGGATCAATGTTAATCTTGTTTTGGAGATAGTCAGTTACTAGCTGGGGAATACAGTCTTTGGTCTTATAATCTGCAAAACAAAATGGCTATTAATAATATGATCCAAGACCAACCAGGCTTGTGGGATGGCTCACTTGCTGTAGGGACCAGATAGCCTGAATTAGATCTCTGAGCCCCAGAAGGTAAGTCATCAGTTCTGATAAGCCACCCTCTGAGCTCCTCATGGGTGCTCTGGCACGTGCACACACACACACGTACACATGCATTCACATACACAGTCACACATCCCAACACACAAATAATAGTAAAATAAATGTGGCAAAAATAAGATTAGCCAATCAAAAGAGTTAAAAAAATGAAGTAAGTCATGAGAGATGGGTAAGATACTCTCTGAAAAATTATCATTGAAAAATAAAGGAGAAATCATTTATACCTGAGCAGCCACTGACAGCTGCTGCTAAAGTGGTTTCTATAGATAGTTCTGTTACCTGGTCATCCTTTAAATGAAATATTGGTCAATATTCGTATTACTGAGTTGAAAAATAATCTCTTCACCTTATCAAGCCATATTCTGGGATTCCATTGCCAAATAATTTCCTCTTGCATCTGTGGGCATCTTCTCTATCTACATACATAGATGTGCTGTGGAAACCCTCTGTATCCACATGCATGGAGATGGCATGTAAACCCTCTGTATCCACATGCATGGAGATGGCATGTAAACCCTCTGTATCCACATGCATGGAGATGTCATGGGGACCCTCTGTATCCACATGCATGAAGATGGCACAGGAACCCTCTGTATCCACATGCATGGAGATGGCACAGGAACCCTCTGTATCCACATGCATGGATATGGCATGTAAACCCTCTGTATCCACATGCATGGAGATGTCACGGAAATCCTCTGTATCCACATGCATGGATATGGCATGTAAACCCTCTGTGTCCACATGCATGGAGATAGCCTAGACTCTCACCCCTAGATGAATGGATAGAAATGGGAGTGTTAATTTTTTAAGTCAGCTAACCAATATTGCTCAGAAATAAGGATTTTTCTGGGAAGATAGAAACACATGGTCAAAATACCAGTTTAGTGCATATAATGACATTTAAGACACTAAAAAAAGGCATTACTAGTAGCACAATAAACTGAATCCATCGATGCAGAATCAAAGTTAATTAAATTACTCTAATTGCAACAAAAATCTTTTTTATCAGAGGAAAATTATAATCCTCAATGACTCCGTTATTTTATTTAACTAATTAAAATTAATTTGGTGGTGGGGAATATGGCTTGGTTGGTAAAGTACTTTCCATGAGTTCAGGTCCCTAGCACCCAGGGTAAACAGTCAGGAATGGTAGTTTGCACATGTAACCTTCGCTCTAGGAAAGTGGAGGCAGGAGGATTCCTGGAGCTCACTGGCCAGCTAGTTTTGTCCAGCTGGTGAGCTCCAGCTGTAGTGAGGAGCTCTGTGCCAAAAAGTGAGCAGGACAGAGGAAGTACCTGATATCAAACACCCACACACATGTATGTACATATGTGAACACGTGCACTCATATGAATACATACACATGCATACATGATAATACACCCCCCCAGATTAAAAAAAAGGCAATTTGATGAACGCTACTCTCATTTCAGGAGGAGTCCTTGGACACATTACTCTAGATGTCTGGTCCTCTCAGAGGAGGACCTAAGCGATCACGTCCTTCCACCTACCTCCCAGACACACGCCCTTCAGGGTTTTTCCAGACACAATCGGGACCGCCTGAAGGCACAGCTGTGCATTTACTGGAGCCACCCCGACGATCAGACAGACCCCGTAGCTGCTGTTGCAGGAGTTCCAAGCAGCGAGCTGAGAAGGACAGCGACAGTCACAGGCACGCCCATACATTAATACCAACTCCCCACAAGGAGAAGGGATCCTCGATACCCTTGAGCTTTGGACTTCTTTTGGGTAGATACAACTTCAAATTCAACCTCAACACCAGGGTCATGTTTGCATCTCCTCAGAGAGCCAGCCACTAACATGACTCAGGCAGGCACTTTAACCTCCGTGCTGGCTCAGTTTCCTTGTAGGGCAGTTCTAAGTACAGACCGATTTATCATCCTTAAAACCCCCTGATCACAACACCAGCCTACAAGAATAAATGGTGTGTTCAATAAAACTATTAACTGCCGTAAGGGCCACACATTCTATATGTCTAACTGTTCACTTGCTATGCTTTACTGCCCAATTGATCTGTACTAGAACAAATCAGAACAGAACATAGTAAACATAGATGTAACCAGGGGAAGCTTCATTTAAAAAAATGAATTTTCTAGGGATTGATTCATAAGCACACATTTTCTTATCTCTTTTGCCTTCTTTCCTTTTCCTTTCTTTCCTTTCACCTCAGATTTTACCTAATTGGCCTCTTTTCTGTCACCTTCCTCTTTACACTCACATCCTTTGGCCTTTGACCAAGGAGCTAGACACACATTTCCATGTAATGTATATATACATCCCCTTCTCTAAATTGTATGACCCAGGAGGCTGCCAGCTAGGTCATTAATCCCTGTAGCTATAGAGGTTGACACATGGAGGTATAGGTGATTGGAAGTCCCTGGCCTGGGAGTTGCCTTGGGTTGGACTCTACTTCTGGACTCCAGTTCCCAGCCTTCCAAGTGCTGACCCCACAGGATATTTAAGTTCGTGCCAAAAAGAGAAACATGTGGTTTGGGATTTGTGTGCATACATGTGTACGTGCAAGTGTGTTTTCTGTGTCTTTTCCTTGTCATGTTCTCATGTTCTCCCAGCCACCTGGGAGCATGCCGCTAATAAACCTGGGCATTTAATTTGGCTTAATCTGGTCTGATTGGATTTCTTTGTGCCGTCAGATAGATTTTTCCTAATGATAGAAGTTTGACAGTTTCTCAAGTTCTGTTAGAAGCCACAGATAAATATATGTGATTCTGATCATTTTCTTATTTAGATATAAATAACTAGAATTGAGAAAAGTGAATTCCTGAGCTCATGGCTCTTTGCATATCTCAGTTATGTATACCGTAACTTTAGATCTCTTTTCTATATTGTCTTTATTTCATAAACTAAGACTGTAGAGGGAATCTATATTCCATTTTTCACTGGCGGCACACAGGCCTAAAACGTATTTGCAGAAGAGCATATTTGCAGATTATGCCTCTGAGCCAGCCCCCCTCACTGTGACCCGTAAACACACCATGGTTTCAATCTTTCCAACGGCCTCAAAGGCAAAGTTAGCACCGACACCCGTCATTTCCATCACCACCTCCTGGACAGGCTTCTGCAGCTTTGTAGGGTTGAGACAATCAGTGACACCCAAGGCTCTTGCCCGGGGAAACTTCTGCTCATTGATGTCAACCCCGATGATTCTAGAAGCACCAGAAGCTTTGCAGCCCATGACAATGGCTGAGCCGACCCCTCCGAGTCCAAAAACCACGCAGGTGGAGCCAGGGGTGACCTGCAGATTCACACATTGTGCTGTTATTAGTTTTCAAAGCTGAGCACAGGGAGCTAAGAAAATAAACCAGGGAGTAAAAACAAACAAACGAAACTACTTTGCTTTTGGAAGCTGTGTGTATACCACTTGGATCATGTGGACAGATTCGGTCTAGTTTTGATCCCCTCCCTCCCCATGACATATGGATAACACACAAAGGTAAGTGAGGTACAGTCAAACCACAGAACTAGACCATTCCCTGGGTAGAGAGAAGTTTGTTGGGGGACAAACTGCCAGAGTTGCCTGGGAGAGTAAAGAAAAACAACTTGCCCGGCCTTATCAGTTTTAGCCCGCATGTTGGCATAGGAGGTGGGTGGGGACCAGAACAGCGAGGAGTTAGCCTGGGGACTTTGGACTGTCACAGGCAGGCTGTTTGGGTTAATCAGGGACAAGACACACTTTGCTGTTGGGGGCAGGGAAGGGCAGTGGTTGATTTCCGGATGACAGAAACTGGGACCAAGAGGTTCCTGAGGAATACCAAGTTTAGGTTTCTGTTTACCAGATCCAAACCCAGTAAGAATCCAGACTGGGTTAGGCCCAGGTGGTCATCTCAGGACACAGTCGGCAGCAATGCCATTTCGGGCCTGCTTTGCGAACTAACAACAAATGCCTCGCTCACCTTGGCTGAGTTAACAGCAGCTCCATAGCCTGTAGGGACGCCACAGCTTATGAGACAAACTTCATCCAACGGAGCTGCATCATCAATTTTTACCACAGCGAACTCGGGCACAACAGTGTACTCGGTGAATGTGCTCGTGCGGAAGGAATGATAAACCGTCTGTCCTCGGTAGGAAAATCTCGAGGTCCCATCCATCATTACCCCGGAACACGGGAGAATACTGTCCCACCAGTGATGGAGACAGACACCCACGAACAGGCACAGACATTAGAAGTTGAAAAGAGAGACGAGGTCACCATTGGGCACATACAATGTGAGCAATTGGATAAAAGGCAAGAAACAAATCTACTAACTCTTGTTTGTCACAGAAGTTTCCTAAGCAGTGCAAGCAGGCATCACATTCTCCACACTGTGGAACAATGAGCGTGAGGACTTTATCTCCTGCAGAGAGGGGGGAAAGATAAATCAATAAACCTGAAATTACTCATGAAATAAAAATACAATAAAATCTTATCGGCTCTCTTGAAAACACGTTGCGGACAGATGGCAGCAGCCAATGTGACACCCCAGGTGGTTTCAAAGCACAAGTCTCTTATACCTGGTTTCAAATCTTCACCATTTGGGTAAAGATGAGACATTGCCCGCCAGGTAGAGAGTTGTAGGACCACCTTTCCCTACTTAAAAAATAGAACAATGGAACCAGGAAGGGACCTTGAAGTCATCTAGTTAATTCTTTTTTTTTTTTTCATTTTTAAAAATGTAATCCCTTGTGGGCAGTGGCAGCACGGGCTTTAATCCCAGCACTTGGGAGGCAGAGATAGGTTGTGAGTTTGGGGCCAGCCTGGTCTACAGTGCTAGTTCTAGGACCCCCAAGGCTACACACAAAAGCCTGTTTATGGTAGCCCGACAATGTCAACACTCTCTCCCAATTCTGCAAGGCTCACTCTCACACTGACACTCTGCAGGCCTTGGCGCTGGTTTAGACATGTCAATTTCAGAGAAAAATGTTCTTTCTCCTCCACGTTCTTTCTGGAACAATTATTACAAAAGAGCTCTGGAGAGAATCTTGATGACGTTTGGGTCTTGGCTCAGCCCTTGCCCTGAGGTTTAGAGTGACAGACAGGGTGGGGCTTGGGAGAAGGTTGACCTGTGCAGTCATCACAGACTCCTGAAGACTCGGCCAGGTATAGCCTGTTGTCTCTGTAGTGGCCTCTACAAATACTTATTGTATAGGGAAACTCCTTAAGACGGCATTTAAAAATGGCTTTAAACTTAGATAAGACACACCTTACCTTTACTGACTGTAAAATTTTTTCAATTTTCCAGATATTAGATCTTAGATCCAGAAGAAGTTCTAACTATTCCTTTCCTTCAAATATGCATTGTCATTTCCCACAAGATTCCCTGTAGAATCTTCGCAGCTAAAGAGGAAGTAGGCTGTAAACTCTCTTATTTATACTACACTCTGGGAGGTGCATATTCAACTCCTTACTTCTGTGCCTCTTACTTGGTCCACAGCAGGCATCTCATAATTGCTGGACACGTGAATACACTCATGATGGCCACGGCTGGCCTTGCTATGTACTTTCTCAAGTGTCTTTTCGCAAACTATGGGGTTTCTAAATTATCAGAATCTATGGGCAATTGCTCATCCCCTGTGATCATCTTAGGCATGCTAAGGATAACGATGCCAAGGTTCTTTAGGATGCAACTGGGGACAATTCTTTGAAAGGTAACCATCATCCTGTCTGTCATGACCTTTCAAGCAGTACATTCTGGTTTGCTAAAACATTCATTCCCTTGCCAAAGACTCCAACTTTGGAATGGGCACCATTCTAAAAACATTTTTGAATCAAAACATAAGTGGTTCTAAAGCCCAATGGCCTTTCGCCCAGTTTGGAGGCTCTCTGCTCTTATGTCAACCTTTATCTGACTGCCCAGGAGCTGTTCTCCATACCGTTTATGTGAGAGAAAAGAGGTGACAGTGATGGGGCCCTTTCCATTACTGGCTTCATTCGATAATGTGACATGTCATCAGCAAGAAGAATCTAGAGAGTCAAACCCAACTTGTTTTTCTGCTGAATAAGCTAACAGTGCAGCCAGAGTCCCAGTGTGCTGCTCCCAAAGAATACTGTTTCCCATTTCCTACCTGGTTTCACAGAGCAAACCCCATCGCCGACAGATTCCACAATTCCTGCTCCCTCATGACCCGGAATTAAAGGGTATTTCAACGAGAGGTCTCCTTTCAGCACATGGTCATCGGTACCACAGATCCCTGTAGAAGCCATCTGCATAGAAATTAAGACAAATGGTTTATGATTTTCTTCCTCCTTCTTTTATACTGAGTGTTCGGTTGTGTTTTGTTTGATACGAATGATCTCACTTGATCCCTAAAGCAACACTCATGTGTTAGGACAACAGTCTGTCCCTTAAAGAGAGATCCCTTTGGAAAGGCCAGACCGCACCACTGCCCCTCCCTGCGCTTCCTGCTGTGACAGAGGAAAGAGTCAGTATGTGTCGCCTTGACAGCTCTGTGCAGAGAACTTGGTCCTTCCATCTCTGTCATGTCCACCATGCTGAATCAAATCACATGCTATAAAACTTCCCATCAGCCACCTCACCCCAAAACGTACATAAGTTAGGTGTTTCCTTTGTTCTGGGGATTGGTGCAGAGCTGTCTCAGGGGCCTTAGCTTGGGGTGAACTCCACACTGCCCTCTATGAGGCATCTCAGGGCTCCTCGCCACCCCCTCAATGGTTGCTCTCTGTCTTTTCCATCCTTCAGGCCTGATCATGGTCTCAAGCTCTTTCTCCCAATAACCTGCATCTCTGGACTGCCCACTGTTGTCTTATTATTGCTTTTTAAATTATATCTAACGAGAGGAACACAGAGGGTCTCCCTACCAATTTAGGAATGGTCGGGAAAAGAGGCCCAGGGACTGAAATGACTTATCCAATGTCACATAGCTTCATGTTCACCCCTCATAATAAACTTGTCTTTTGAAACCTAGTCCATATGACCTATGAAATGAGGAGTTCTGAAACAAAATGGTTTTGTTTTCATTTTTGGAAATATTAACAATAGCACCACTATCAAGAGACACAAAATTTCTGGTTCAATATTGTGAAGTTCAGTGCTTTGGGTAAACCAATTTTCAAAATTTTAAAACTTGCACGTTGGAATTTTTCCTTTAGGCTGTGCACTGTGATGCACACCTTTACTGTCAGTGCTCTGGAGACAGAGGCAGGTGGATCTCTGTGAGTTGGAGGTCAGCCTGGTCTATAGAGTGAGTTCCAAGATAGCCAGAGCATCTTTAGCATTAGGGAGGCAAAGGCAGACAGATCTCTATAAGCTCAGTGCCAGCCTTGTCCACATAGAGAGTTCCAGGCCAGATAGGGCTACATAGTGGAATCTTGTCTGTCTCCAGAGAAACACAGTCAGACAGACAGAGAGAGAGAGGGGCAATAATATTGTAAAATAAGATTAAGCTAAATAAACTAATATTGCAAGATTTAACTGTTATGGGAAACATAAAAACTTCTTAGATAATTATTTGAGATTTCTTGCCTGTGGCTGCCAAATGAGACACCACATACACAAAGGCCTATGGATTCTGGATCCCAGAAGAGTGCAGAAAAGCAGTCTATGTGTTTCCATCATCTGTGGCAGAAGAAACGGCAGGAACACCAGAAAGAGCCACATCTGAATGCAGCAAGTGGGTCCTCACTGTGTTACAATGGCTTCTCAATGCTACCAAAGGCTAGACATGCTTTTTATATATGGAAGCTCTAGGCTCTTATTCCTTTGTTGTGTATAGCAAATGAGAATATGGGATTATCTGTAGCCATGGTTCATCAAATAAGTTAGGAGGGCAGGGACTCGCCCACCACAGTGGGCATATCCAATCTCTGACTTTGATTTTATCAAGGACTCAGTGTGATGATGCTGATTTCTAGCCACTGTAATCAGCAGCTGAGTGGAGTCGTCTGCAGGTCTGACCTAGGGTATGGTCTTTATGAGTACGGAGCATAGTAGCCCAAGAGTGGTGACCAATCAACTCGGAAGCATTGTAGATGGTGGCGCAACACACAATCAGCAGTGACAGCTCTCTGGGTGTATGAGAAGGAAGGGAACATGGTTTCCTGAGAGTATTTGGCCAGAACAATGATTGAGCCCTGTCCATGGCTACGCTTCTGTCACTTTGCTGTTTGTTCTCAAACTCTCAGCACATCATTGTCAGGAGCGTTTATCAGAAGCTGTTGCAGGCCATGACAAAATTACAGCTTCCTCTGAAAACTGCGGCTTTCTTCTGTAATTTTACTTGTGCAATAACAGCCATGAATTTCCCTTTTGCTGTGCATTGTCATGTAATGTGTGTGTGTAATCTTACGATTGCATCTGAATCTTACGGTCACACATATCTGTGGATGGTCAAATGGATGACTTTTCATTTAGTTATGTAGTTTTGATATATAGAATACATACTGGGACATGCTTCATAACTAGGTTTATTGGCCCATGATGACTACAGACACCTGTAAGCCTGCTTACTAGCTACACATAATTAACTCATTTTCACCTCAGAAAAAAATTCAACTAGACTCAAAGCATTTTCTAAAATGAAAACTGTGGAGCTCACACAAGGTCAGAGTCACAGATGTCCAACCAAGGCTACTAAACCATGCCAAATTTTCACTCGCCAGTCCACTAACAATTGATCTGAGTCTCAACGTTGTCATTGATCACTGTGCGTCCTCCCTGTCTGGTCAAGGCTTTGCTCCTATGGCCTTGGACCTTTGTTTTGCCATGGTGAGCAGCTCAGCTCCTTATGCTTCAAGGCTCCAGTAGAAGAGTTTTTAGAATAGAAGAAGAAGAGGAAGAGGAAGAGGAAGGAGAAGGAGAAGGAGAAGGAGAAGGAGAAGGAGAAGAAGAAGAAGAAGAAGAAGAAGAAGAAGAAGAAGAAGCATGGAGAAGTTTGAAGGAGGACAGGATTATTAGAATCAGAACAATAAAGAGCAGGTGAAATGAGGAGCACTATCCTGTCTGTGTGAGGTTCTAATATAAATCCTTTTCATCCCCTTTGCTCCTGAGAAGCATTCATCTTTGAAACCCTGAGTAGGGGCTGGAGCCAGTCTCATGGGACACCTCATAGGACACACATCCTTGGACACCTTGTCTGTAACTTACCGAGCGTGAGTTCCTTGTTTTTCTGTTCTGCCTTTCATTCCTCATCTGTCCTTTTTTAATTCTCCTTTTTCTATCAACATTTTTTTTAGAATTTTAAAATCCCTATTTTTAATTTTAATTATGTGTATACAAGTGTATCCATCTGGGTCTATGTGCGTGCGAACGTAGCTGCCTGAGAAGGCAGAGAGACAGAGTGAAATCCCTGGAAATTGGATTTACATGCAGTTATGAGCCACTAACCTTGAGTGCTGAGAATAGAACCTGGGTCCTCTGGAAAAGCCCGTGCTCCTAACTGCTGAGCCATCTCTTCAACCCCTACATTTATTTTCTGAAGTGTAGTATCATTTTCTTTCATCCTCAAAAGTGAAGACTGGCCAGCTTGAACTTACCTTAATGCGAACTTCTCCAGATTTCGGTGGCTCAACCTGCACTTCTTCAATTTTAAGAGGAGACTTTTCTTTCCAGGCAATGGCTGCCCGGCATGTGATTGTCTAATGGGCACAAAATAAAATGGCATTTACCAATAAATTCCTTTTTTTTTCTGATCACACTTGCTGTTATTTGTAAAAGTATCAAAATCATAGGGAAAAAGCCCAAAATAAATCAATATAAACAAGTCACCTGCATCCCAAGCATAAACCTCCAAGAATTTAGCAAATTTTCTTACAACTTTTCAAAATATATTTTCTTATAAAATCTTAATAATTTTAAAATAGTTAAGATTATTCCATATAAGGAACTTTGCCTTCTTTCTTCTCCCTTCTCCTTGCTCTTCTTCTTTCTCTCTTCTGAGACAGTCACTGTCTAGTGAACCATTACTACCGACATGTTTATCAGCATTTCTCTTGACTTTGAAGAACTTCATTGTCCTAGTTTGAATGACCACTATATGTGGGTATATCTTAATTTTCTTAATAACTACCTAGCTGTAGGTGTGTTCCATTGTTTCTCCTCTTACAAAGTGTATTATGAACACATTTGTTCATAATTTTTTTTCTTGGTTGGTGTGTTTCCTTAAGTGAAAATTTCTCAGGAAAGAGAGTCATTGTTAGTGCTAAGTTCATTTCCAAATCTCTTTACAGAAAGATTTAACCACTCACTTGACCCACTCTCCAGAACAATAAATTGCCTTTGCTATCATATATTCCATTATACTTTGCATTGGCTGTATCATTAACAAAATATTGCCCAGGCAGAAGAAGCCCGCAGTCTTCATTGGTATGTTTTCAGGGTGGCAGTATGGGTATCTGCCATGATCTGGTAGATGTGGAAGGGCTTTCTCATGTATTTACAGACCTATTGGCATCTTATTTCTTTTGCTAAACTTAAAAGAGTTCTTTAAACATCCAGGGATTAACTTGCCATCTCTCAGCTCATCTTGCAAGTTTTTCCTCTGCTGTTTATATCATATTGATTTTGTATGAAATGATGCACATGTTTTGTGACGTTTGTTTATGAAAGTCTTTTCCTTTATAAATTATTCCATTTCCAGGGTCTGAAAATTCTCTGTAGAGTAACAACTGTTTCTCATCCTCTCTTTGAAACTTTTCCAGTTTGCTTCTCAAACACTTAACTCACATTTAACTGAAGATTATTTCTTTGTGTAGTGTGAAGCTAGCATCGAAATGAGTCGTCTCGGGGTGGCCTGGTGTGCACTGTTGTTGTGCAACAAATTATTTTTCCAGGCTTCTCTGTAGAGGCTGTTTCTGTTGACTTGAGTATCCTTCTGTGTAGTCTTGCAACAGCTCCTTCCTCAATGAGTAGACTAGCTTAACTTTTAGACTTAATACCCGGTGACACTAGTTTGTATAACTTGAAATGTATTCCATTTGTAGGTATGATTTCTACATTGGTCATTTTAAGTGGAGAAAAATCTATTGAAAGGAATTTAATCTCTGGTGGAAGAGATAATACCAATTTTAATCTTACAAAGAAAAAGGACATGGGTCACAAGAACTTTCAACTAAAGGGATAGAAAATACTACTTTTGTCTATGAACAACGTAATTAGAATAAATTTGCTTTCCACTCAAAGCTTTTGGCAAAAAATAGCTTTTAGGGAAAAAATTCCTTATTTCAAAAGCAATATACAGAGAACACAAAACACTAAGGTACACAGACAAATGCTCACTCCCTTAGGGAGGAAGCTTAACATCCAGCTCTCACCGCTGCTAATGATGTCGAGTAAGTTCTTCCTTTGATGCTCTGTGCTTGCACTGCGTGTTCACAGTCTGGGGCTCATCCTGCTGTTCCATGTAACAGGATGGGCAATAGCCCACTTAAGACTCACTAGTACATTATAGCCGCAGCTCTCTAACACGCCACAGATGCTGTTTCCATCCACGCTCTTTACCATGACGCTATTAACCTGCTTGTAAGAACACGCGGTTTTTACCGGGATCAATTTCCAGTCCGAGGGACCTCCGAGGCACAGCAGATAGCTTTCCAGCCTCACACTTGTCCGGATGAAATGACAGGCAAATTTCAAAGCTTTTGCTACAGTATTAGCAAATTGTCCTATGTCAACTCGTCAGAAATTCATTCTCCAGACAGTGCCGGAAGACTTTCCACATCTTGAGATACTTTGGGTACTATTGTCATTCACATTTGTTAATAATCCGAGCAGAGAACACAAATTCTAAATTCCTAATTGCTTTTAAACACGCACCTGCTCGAAGGCAGTGAAAGGGCTATGGGGTGTCACGGAGCAACCCACTCACCTTTCCTGCAGTGTCCATGGTGGCTTCTCTGGTTTCGCCCGTGTCCTTTGGGTATATCAGAATAACGTTTGATTGTGCAGTTCCGCAGCCTGGGCCAAGTATTTATAGGTTCCTGAAGTTGAAAGTTATTAAAAAGTAATTATGCTATTAATATGGAAACTATCAGAAGGGCGATGGGTTGAAAATATGTGTGTAAACAAAGGAATACGAAAGACCAGGAAAGGATAATCTCCAGGGAGGAGATTGATAGCCGAGATGCTGACTGGGAGATAAGAGCTGGAAGAAGAGGTGGGTAGGGTGAAAGGCTAAGAGGGACTGCAGAAAAACAGGTAGTGAGGAACAAGCCAGACAGCACCTGCTAATTAGTCAACAGCAGTCTGGAGGAGCAATTATTCTAGCTGCTATTGCTCAGTGAGCGATAAAGACAGGCTTAGGACTGGGGTGCCAGCAGGCAGAGGAATGAGAAAGTACAAGCACTCACATATATGACCATTTATAACCTGAGGAATGCATTGTGAAACTGAGGGATGCTAAAGATGCTCAAGATGAAGCATCAGGGAAGAGTCTCACACAGGTAAAGAGAATGGTTGCAGAGATAGAACTTACGTAAGAGCGAGGGATGGGTGGGTATTCAGGATAGGGGCTGCCAGGCAGGGCAAAGTGAAATAAATAGGTCATGCTGATGATGGGGAGGAGGAAGATGTTCAAAGTGTGTGATTCTGGCCTGACTCTGTAGGCTGACTCTCTGCCTTGGCTGAATGAGTGAACACAAGTCAAAAGATCGGGAAGTGGTACCCTGACTGCTGGCAAGCTCTGGCTGCTGGCTTTATCTGTCTCTAATTCATATCTGTCCACACACATAGGGACTGACTGCAATGAGCCCCACGGAGTCATTTGTCTGCTGAGGGTCTATCAACCTCATGGTGCTGAGCAGCTGTAAGGTGGGGGGCATTTGCTGGGAGCAGGAGTGAGATGGAGGTCTGCAGTCACCGGTTTCTAAGTAGGGAGCTGTGTAGCACACGTTCTAATAGGTCTTAATAATAAAAGTCCAGAGTCAGATATTGGGGAAAATGCTGAGAGATTAGATAGGCAAAGGAGCAATACCACGACGACCTTACCTTTCAGCTTCCCAGTTGAAAAGAGTTCCTCTTTCCTCGGACCTTCTCATTTCTTCTCTCCGCTCAGTCCTATCACTTCCTGTCTGTCTGTACAGACCTCCAAACTTCTATGGTTAACTAGTGGCTAGCTTCGCCCTCTGATCTTCAGGCATGCTTTATTTGTACAAACAAGATATTACCCCAGAGCTACGTCAATCTTTATACCCTAGTCATAAGTTTATGTTTCACTTGTGCGCCTTTGTATTTTCTAATACTTCAGAAAGACCCTCAGGTCACCCGAGGGCTGGCCTTTTTCTCCTGGATTAGAACTGGGGTTAGGAGAGAGAGACCTGGTTCACCCACCATGAACCCTGACCAAAATAATGCTCTTAGGCAGGCTTTCTGATGACTGTGGTTAAGCAGGGAAGCATCACCTTTCTTTACGCAGGGATAGTTCAGGAAGGAAGGTCCAGGGATGCGTGACTGACACCTGTTTATTAAATGGCTTTGTGCTACAGTATTTCCATTCTCATATTTTCTGCATCCATGTTCCTATTCTGTGAATATACATAATGCCTCTGTTTAGCAAGGTTTCACGTGAGGGGCAGCAGCCTAGTAAGAAAAGCCATGCCTTGAGGCACTGTCCAGTTGTGAACTTTCCACCCTACAGAGCCTTCTGATAGCACCTGGAACACAGAAAAATATTTTCAGATCCCTGTGAATTGTAGGCGGAGTTTTCTTGTCTTGCAAGCCGCTCCCAAATAACCACATAGAGGCTTAACATTAATTATAAATGCTCAGCCAATAGCTCAGGCTTATTACTAGCTAACTCTTACATTTATGTTAACCCAAACTTCTTATCTATATTTTGCCACGTGACTCTGTACCTTTTCTCAGTATGGCATGCCACCTTGCTTCTCTCTGAGTTTCTCGTGACTCCTCTATGCTACCTTTCTTTTTCCCAGGAGCCTAAGTTTGGTTGTTTCACCTATACTTCCAGCCTGGCTACCAGCCAATCAACTTTTTATTATACCAATCCGAGTGACAAATCTTCACAGTGCACAAAAGGAGTGTTCCACAGCGGTGAATTATTCCATACAGTGTAGTTAAGAGAGAGTTGTGGATCACCATGTGGGTGCTAGAATGAAAAACCAGGTTCTCTGGAAAAATAACCAGCACTCTTAATCACTGAGCCATCTCTCCAGCCCCACCTGGAAAAATTTAAGTCCTTCCCTCCCTCCCATCCTCCCTTTCCTCTCTCCCTCCTTTCTTTTTTCCTTCCTTCCTTCCTTCCTTCCTTTCTTCTCCCCTTCCTTTCTTCCTTCCTAAGAGATAATGCCAAATGTGGGGGTGCTCACAGTGGACTCCTGACAGCTCCCACCACACTACTCATTGTGCTCCACGTTTAATGGATGCCAGTGTGCCAAGCCATTTCTGGGGACTCAATTTGTCCCAGTTGTTCCCAGGTTATAAAAACCTAGCAGTCGTAAGTTTATGGAAATGGTAAAACATTTAGAAAAAGTAAACATTGAAAGCTGGGAGCTGAGCCTGAAATCTGTTCGCCTTTGACAGGACTTCCCCCTCTCTGATGTGAGGCAGTGAGATAGACAGGAATGCAATGCCAGTACTCACAGACCTGGGTCCAGATCTTACCTTCGTCTCCTACACACTGAGACTTAAGAATGACAGCCACTCAATGCCTCAGGTTCCCTGTCAGTAAGAAATGATGTATCAGCCTCACAGATTTCCGCACAAGCACAAAGCCAATGAGCAGACGCAGATGCTAAGACCCCTGCCTTGAACACAGCAGGTCTCCAGGAAGTGCTCACTATTACAATCATCACTGTGTCGCTCAGAACCTTCATTTCATTTCCCCCCATTTCTGTCTGACTCGCTTTTGTCCTGTGATAGGAAATATGGCCATGAGAAAAACACTTAATTCTTAAATTTAACTACTACATCCAGAGAGTTCTTATCTCTCTTCTCTTGCACACGCAAGTGCAAGGAAGGCAGTCTTTTCTCTGCAAGGACCAGGTAGGTGCTCTTCTTGCCCGTGTGAAGTCTGGGTAAGAACTTGACAACTGTTGTAGCACGAATGTGGGTCCCCCAGAAGGTGACAGTGGGCATGGGAAGCTCCAGGGAAGATGATTCCACTGTCAGTTCTCACTCACTAAAGACAAGACATGCCCAAGCATTGCTTCAGAAGTCTACCTTTCCTTATAGATACAATTAGGTGAGATCATATCATATGACAGTGTACCTCTGGATGAGATCATACCAGATTACTGTGCCTTTCACACCAATACAAATGGTGTCCTCTTAAGAAGACAATGTGTCAGGATGGAAAGGGCCCTGTGAGGAGATATGTGGTAGAGGCAACTTTTGTGTAGTTCTTGGAAAGTAATACAGCATTTAATTGAGGTGAGGCAAAATAATCACTGGCTTACAGAAACAAGTGTTTTATGTGAAAAGAATAAAAATGCATATTGTAAAACATCATAAAATACTGAGTTTAAGTTGGATTTCAAGCTATTATAATTTTTGTTCAAAGATGTGTGTTTCTGGTTTTCTAATGCAGTCCTAGAAGCTGTTACTGCTCACAGACCTACAACACGCCAGTCAGTATAGCTCTAGTTTCCTTGTGTGCTGATAAAACCTACAATGTGTGTTTATAGAATCTAAATTCATCTGCATTTTAGCTAACTTTCAATAGCTATAATAAAATTCCAGTAACGAGCTTGATTAGAGAGACAAGAGGTTTATTTTTGCCATGATCTAGATTGGAAAGGCCTAGGCAGTGTGCTACAGGCTTGTCTCCTTCTGCTCGTTGAGCCATATGCATCACATCAGAGAAGAAGCAGATGTGTATTTGACATCTGTGTTTCTCCTTCCCCAAGAGGATTCAGTCATGGGAACTTCCTTCTACTGACCTGAGGTCTCACCTCCAGATGTTGTGACTGGATTATGTTTCTACCCAGACTGTCAATACCGTGAAATCTGGGGGATTGAACAGGTTCATCGTTGGAGGACAGGCTGTGTTCAAACCAGTGCGCTTCTGGCTCCAGTTTTTTGCTTCAACCAAACCAAAATGTGCCCGGTCCCCATATTTTCTAGTCTCTCTGCTTCTTCATATTTTCCTGCCCAACTGGAGGTGTTTCCACTCCCCCTGAATCTGACACCCTCCTTCAGCTCACTCCCCCAATGGCTCAGGTCTCATGTTTGGTTTTGTTTCCAAAGTTCACCTGAACCCTGTATGCACAGCCTGTCTTTGATGGAGACATTGTCCTCTGGGTTAGATTTGAGTCAAGAAACACAGAACTCAAAACCTAAGAGCGCCGTGTTCTTCCTCCTTCCTTTTTGTCCTCTTCCTCTTTTGAACTAGGTTTTATTCTCTCCTGTGGGATCTTTAATAAGGGTTACTTTTACTAGTTAATTTGACTTAGATGCTTTAAGCTTTGTGTATCAGACTTTTCCTTTTACGTTAGCAACCAGCTCCCCAAATTTTTTTATGGTTTTTATTTTTTATAAAATTTTATTATTAGTTTTGGGTGCTTGACCTACTTTGGGCTCATTTCTGGCTAGCTCTTTTAACTTTAATTAACCCATTTCTCTTTATCTACCTTTAGCCTCAGGTGGTTTTTTTTAACCTTTTCTTTCTGTAACTTACTTTCACTACTTCTTGCATCTGAATGGCATCTTGCCCCAGGCGTGTCCCTCATTATCTCCTCCTTCTTCTCTTGTTCTTCTAGGTTTCTCCTCTTATTTATTCTCTCTGCCTGGCAACCCCACCTAATCTTTCTCCAGCCTGGCTATTGGCCATTCAGCTTTTTATTAGATCAATCAGGTGCCTTAGGCAGGCAAGGTGAAACAAATGCAACACATCTTTGCATAATTAAACCCACATTCTTACACGTTAAATAA